CTCTTGGTGGGCCATGAGGATTGGTTTGGGAACCGCTGTTCTAAAGTGTTTGCACTAATTTTCTCTCTCTATCTCGTACTCCCCAGTGCGGTTTAACCATTTTGACTTAAGATCTTTAATGTTGAATTTATAACATGTATTACAATTAGAGATTCCTTTAAAAAAAAAAATTCCAGTTTATCCCTCCAAAGGTTGACAAAACTGTATTTTTAAACAGTGAATGTTTCTACAAAACTCCTTATTACTATTGTTTCTAATAAAACAAACTAAAAAAAACCTTTGAAAATAGAAGATGTGTTTCCTTGTAAAAATTGGATAAATGTATTTGCAAAGATATTTCTAGCTTTGCTTTAAAAGTTACAAAGGTCTACAGTAATTGAACTGAAAGGGCAAACAACTCAAAAAATACATGTCAAATGCAAAACATACACAAAGTCATTAAAAGAACAGGTTTTGTGGAAATGTGTACTTTAAAGACCTTTGTTAGTGGAAATCTTTTTGGTTCATTCATGTTGCTGTGAATTTGACATGTTATTTATTTACTATACGTAATTACTCTTTAGGAGCAACAATACTAAAATTTCACAGCACACTCAGTAAAAGTGCTTGCATTTGGTTTCTTGGGATTTGCAAAACATTGGTCTGGTAAGAAAGTTTACAAGTAACATCAAAGCCAATTAAAGGTTGTCTTAAAGATATAGTATGCTGAAATATGACTTACAAAAGTTTAACACCAATAAAAATGAAGAATACATGATTGGCAATGAAATAATTTAATATGAATTAAGAAATTGTGTTTTTTTCCAAGTTCGGCATGACATTTTTTAAGTGAATATTATAACACTGATGACTACTGATACTGGAATAAAACACATTTTTATTTTGCAATGTTTAAAAGTACAACAATGCCCTTCTCCTCCCCTCATTTACAGGTTTTCCTGGGGCTTTAGGAAGTTAGAGGGACAAGTCTTCATACATGGACATATGACAAATTAATTTTCATGGCCTCTGTTTATACAATACATTCAATCTATGCAATTTAATGCAATCAATCAATATAGATGTTCTGGTCAGGGATTTAAAAATATTTTCCTGACAGGTGTTTGATCAGGGGCCATATTTTGCATAGCATTTCATACAAGGGGACATTCATAGGGGACATTGGGCATAGTTGCTAAAATGGAGGAATTGCTCATATGTATGCCTCTTCATAAGTCCTGGAAAAAGAGGGGTAGCAAGGATGGGGTGCGTGTTGCAGTAACTACAAATGTGTTTGTTTTTTACAATACCTGTAACTAACATCAGTGCTCAAAACCTTTTAATTTTAGTTAGGTTAGTGGGTGACAGATGTTTTGGTGTGAACCTGGATTGGCTGGCATACAAATTGCATTGGGTAGCCATATACTGAAACAAGTGTTCAGTAATAAAATGTTTAAAATAATATATTGGTTCCCAAACTTCAATGCCAGTTGTGATGTCAGGGCTTACCATATATTGTGTATTTCCAAGGCAGTTAAGTTGGGGGTACCCAATTATAATCACAAACTAATTCTGCACTTCTCCCTGTAGATGGTGGTAGATTTGTAGCACAATCACTAGTAGACAAGGTTAGGGGATCTATATTTGAAGTTGTAAGAGGGTCGCTATCATTTATCTAAAAATGTGTCACTCTGTGATTCAAACATTAGAATGGAATAAACCTCTTCTATGGAATAGTAATGTGCCTAACACAAACTCAATGCCAAACACCAACTACATGCCGAACACCAACTCTGTCAAACCACCCCCCAATTTCCACTTCCACCTAACAAAGTGAATCATACACGTCACCCAAAAAAGCACAGAACTGACTGATCACAGTCTAAAAACTACTATCAGCATTGAAACGTTTTTTTTTTTTTTCAGCTAACGTGCAGTTAGACAAAAAAAATTAAAATAGTTCAGAGCGCTCTAATCAAACTGATACAGGAAAGGTTAAAAAATTAAAAAGGGTTAAATAGAAAAAGGTCACATTTTAACTAAAAAAGCCAAAAGCATGATCTCAGTAATAACATTGCGATCAGCAGTGAAATAGTTAACTAAATTAGATTTTCTGCACAGTAAACTATTAGAACATTCTGTAACAATAATCTCTCTGCCTCTCTTGCCTCCCATGAAAGTAAGGAAAAAGAAGCAGAGTACAATGACCATAGCCAATGTTTGAATTTATTGTGACGCAAGGTTAAATTTCACTGCCAATTTGGAGTCAAGAAGAAATTTTCAACTCAATTCATGGCAACATTGGAAATGACTTCAAATTGGGTTCTTTGCTTACTCTTGGATCAACAGCAGTATTATGGTTATTTGAAAGTGAACTGAACTTGATACACTTGAGTATTTGTTTCAGTCTATGTTACACTGTATCTATGTAACTAAATGATTTGTATGACATTTAAAGCTGATCTCTCAGAAAAATGATAAGGATGATTGAGAGTCATCTCAAATGAAAAAACAGACACATTACAAACACACTGAGCAACAGCATGATCTGACACAATAATTGTGCAAAGATGCTCTAGTTGGACGGTGCTAAATAGATTGATATAACCTTATAGGAACACTGTAGTGTCAGGAACACCAACATGTATCATTGACATTATACTTGTAAAATCAATGTTTAGGTTCCTGACCTCCCTAAGTTTCCTTTTAAAAGATATTTTACAGAGCTTCACCTCCACACACCACATGAAATTTGGATCATTGTAGAAATATGACCACATCCTGCTGCACAGGATGTGCCATCCTTGTTATTACATGGATCAGGAGATTCTCTCATGTTCAGTTTACCACTCCATTCACAAAAACAAGGGATTGAGGAAGCAGAAGAGGGCCTACTGAAAGACCCCCTAGTCTATATATTTTATATATGCTGTACATCAGCATAAATGGGGATAAGCAGGGATCAAAGGTTCTCTAGTGTTCTAAATAGTTTTATTGTACTGCTATTTACACTGGTAGCAGTTGTTATATTGATGAGGAACAATTGGCCCAATATTTCCAGTCTGAACAACCAACTCATGTTGGTTTCAGAAGTTTGTTACAGATCGTTTCTCAAAATTGCCTGCCTACTTCACCTAACATTGTGTTAGTAAGTTGCATCTTGTGTAACTCTACCTTTAATGGAGAGACACTAAACTATGATATTAATATTTACATTTAAGAATGAGATCTAAATATGGTAAATTAGTGACAAATAATATAAAACCGAGTGATTCCTGAGTCTTCTTAACATGCTCATTGATACTGCATGCAAACCAGTGTATGTGGGTCATTAAAATTATGCAAGGTTTATGGCTGGATAATGGACCCAGAAAGTCAGTGTCCAGTATAACAATTGACAGTTATTTTCCAGCAGGACCTATTCGAATTATAATTACATAAATATGATTAAATGTTAGTAAGGCCATTTTTGTTTTTGCTCTACACATGCACAGGACTACACCAATTCTATACATGTTCTATAAATATTTTCTATAAATATAATTGTAGATAGAATCATCTATCATCTATCTATCTATCTATCTATCTATCTATCTATCTGTCTGTCTGTCTCACTATCTATCTATCTATCTATCTATCTATCTGTATATCTATCTATCTATCTATCTATCTATCTATCTCTCTATCTATCTATCTATCTATCTATCTATCTCATTTTGCTACCTTCATTAAACAGATGATATTGCCTGGGCAGGATGATTAATTTCACAGCTTCTTTTGAGCGCTGCAAACCTTTCAGATACTGTACATTAAATGTGTGTAAGGAATCAAAAAGACAGATCAATGGCAAAATAAATTTACCCTTTCAGAAAGGTTACTGATTAAAGGAAAAATCCTTGATAGGAGGGCAAAAAATAGTTCATTCTATTTATACAAACTTAAGCACCTACAAAACATATTTTTTATTGTCCCTAAGGGTGTTCTCATAGGAAGAATCTATGCCTGTACTTTTCATCTTAAGACTGGACAGGTCACCCCTATTAAACCTACACTCCTTTCCCCAGGCTGATTCCTAACCTTTCACATCAAGTATTGATTAGTCAAAGGTTATCAGTTCATTTAACACAATTTATTTTTCATTTCACTTTAAAAAAAGAACACTTTCAGTTATCAGCATCTTTCATTGTTAGAGACTTTGCAGCTGAAGATGCTATTTTAATGTGTAAATCTTCAAAGATTTTTTAAAGATTATTTTTCTTTTTTGTCTTATATATTTTTCCTCTATACATTGAATTCCATTTTTGTTTTGTTGATGAAGGCTGGCAATGTCATTTAGTAAACTTTAGATGTTAAAAGGGCCTACAATGTCAAGACTTGTTTAGCTAAGAATATCATTAATATCCTGGATTTCATTAGACAAAATATGAACATGCTTTTATAAGCTATAGAGTTGTGTGTTGTGTTTTCTGCTGCTCCAGTGACAGTGGAAGACGGTGGTATTGTGGTATCATAAACATAGAGGAATCTGCTTTGCAATTTGAAAAAACAGTCACATTTTGGGTCAGTACCACCATATTATGATAGGATAATTAAACCTTTTTGGTGATCAAACCCCCCCAAAAATTTTTTTTTTTAAAGAATGATAAGTCTGTAAATGGCTGGTTGTGATACAATGAACATTATTCTCACTAAACAGGTCATTTGGAATTAAAAACAAATTAATAGTTTGGAATTACATACTTTAACTGGTAATATGGCAGATATAATTTGATTAGGTACATTGTTACTAGTAATAATATTATTTATAGTGGGGGGTGAGACCTGAGCTTTATGGAGGCTGAATGCTTTTTAGTAGAGCTCTTTCTATAGCTCCTACTTGAAGCGATATATTTGGCACACAGCTTTCTCAATTGGCACGATTCACGACTTACCTGTTCTTAACACAGGTCGGAACATCTTGGGTAGGTATTACACAGTGCCCGCTTCTGCTGATCTTATGGAGTCAAGCTAGCATGGAAGAGATGTCGGGGTGGTGTGGCACTCCTTTATCCCACAGAGCTTTACTTCCTCACAGTGCTCTTATGCTGACCGGTCCCCAGCCTTGGACCGGTGAGGGTCATCCCAGTCCTAATTGCTTGATCTGGTATTCCATCGAACTCACTCTGCTGCTCTTACCATACCTCAGAGCATAAAATGACTTACAAGATGGTGGGCAAGCTCTCTCCTTAAGAGCACCTCTTGACACTAATTCCACAAGTCCAACGCGGATCTCTGGAACTGTCTTTATTGAAATTGGAAGCAATATTACACAACTTTTGGGCTACAATAAAAGCATGTGCAGCAACTACTCAGCTAAACTTGCAAACTGAAGATCGGTGGGGCATGAGGCGGATAGATAGAGAGCCTCCGTCAGGTGTGGTTCGACCACAAGCATTTTCTTTACACCACCTGAAATCACCCACCTTGAAGGCCGCTAGGGGATTATCTCATTGCATAGACCACACAAGCGGTGGTACAAGCGCTGTCGGGAAGGACTTGGACTGTATGAGTATCCAAGTCTGTGGTTCAGTGATGCAGGCCTTAATATGGATCTGGGGTTGTTGGGTTGCCTTGCCTAAAAACCGCTCCGTTGCTCTTTTCAGCCATCCTTCAGTGAATACTTGGCATCTCCTAAGTTTGGGAATTGGATAATCAGAGGATGGTGTGACTAAGGGGTGGAGCCAGGACAATGATGCATCCAAGATGGGGCTGAGTTCCATAATCAGCCACATTGACCTCAGGTTGGTCCTCCTACAGGTGAGGCCAGATTATGTCATTGAGCCACTCCTTTATAAGCAGAGCACACCTTTCAGTCAGTGCTTTGTTGTCTGCCTCAGTACTCCAAACATTTGTTCCCCTGTGTTTCCTGTTCTTGCTGGTTTCCTGACTTTGCTTGCTCTTTGGATTTTCCCGATTGTCGCCTGTCCTGACCTCTGGACCATCTGACTCTGATTTCTTCCTGACCCTACTTTGGATACCTTGGATTTTTACTGTTATCTTTTATTAAAGCCCCCGTGCCATCACTAACCCTGTTCTCAACCTCAAGATCTCTGTGGATCATGCTTGTAAGGGAAAGGTGTTACTGCACCTGAGTTCCAGGACTGAACACAACCCTATTGGTTTGTTACAGAACAAACCATTATGGAACTCACAGGAACAGCAGAAGCCATTACTGCACTGATCCAACAGGTGGCAGCACTGGCCCAATCTGTACAAGATTTGCAGACCAGTCATGCTATCTTGCACCTGCGTGAACAACATAGAGCTGAGGCAACACCACACCCACCATCAACACCTCTGATGGCACCAACCCCTGAGCCTGATTTTGCTATGCCTGAGACATTTACCGGGAAGAAATCAGCATTCCGTACATTTATCACAGCCTGTGAATTGCTCTTTGCCCTCAAGCCACAAACCTATCCCAGCGATTACATAAAGGTCCATTCTGCTATTGCTTTGCTCTCCGGACAATATCGAACCTGGACTTATCAGTTCGTACACAACAAAAGTCCACAGTTGGAATCCTGGGAGTCCTTTACTGCCACCATACGTACACCTTATGATGATCCTGTGAGACCTTCTGCAGCCAGAACCGCCTAATGTTCCTTATGCCAAAACAGACGTCCTGTAGGAGACTATGTAACAGATTTCCATGAAATAGCCCCTGACACAGGCCTTAATGAAATAGGCCTTGTTGAACAGTTCTGTATAGGGCGATAAGAATCCCTGAAAGATGAGCTGGCAAGAGTGGGTGTCCCGATGTCCCTGGAAGAGCTGCTCCTATTAGTAACCCAACTAGATAGAATGGAAAGAACACAAGCTCTGCCTCCCTTACGACTCACGGATTCTTCTGGAGCACCTGCTTCTTCTGTGTCTCCTGTCATGCCTGATTGGTCTGGTTTGCCGCCCTCCAACTCAGGAGGAACGAAAAAGGCATTGCTCTCCAGGTCTCTGCTTGTGTTGTGCAAAACGTGATCATCATCTCCGGATCATCACCTTGTAAAGGAACCATTGAACATTATTCATTAAATACAGCAGCCCTTGCTATGTCTACTTAGCTGTCTGTCTCTCTCTATCTACAGTAGGAGAATAAAGCACATCCTATTACAGCTATTATTGATTCAGGGGCTAGTGGATGTTTCCTGGATTTAACCACTGCAAAAACCCTGAATATATACATTCGGAAGAAATCCTACCCGCTACTGCTAAATGTTGTAAACAATAAATTAACAAAAAGTGGAGCGATATTTAGTTGGTGTACCCGACATCCAGCAATGGCTCAAAAAGTTAATACTAATGCAGCCAGAAGACAACAGTAATCCATTACGAGATCATATGGTACATAAATGAAAAAAAAATAGAGAAAAAAAATAGACACAGTAATGTAAATATGCTAAATAATATGTTACACATACAAGTATGCCTATACCAGTCTGTTGGCAAGAAATTGATACATTTATTTAACAAATCTTTAAAAAGATAAAAACAGATAATTTGTCCATGCAAAACACAATAGAGATGCACAGCTGCTTACAAGATAAAGTGGTGAATACTGTGGTACATGTACCCACTACTGACAACCGCACCTAATCACTGAGGAATCTCCCATCAAAGTGTTGGAGTCTCTGCTGTCTGCCGTCTCATGTAAGATCAGGTTGCGGTCCCTGCTCTTGCAAAGTGCCGTTCGTCTTTCCCGGCTGCCCATCCTTTTTTCTCATTGCTATTTGTTGTAGATGGAACTCCCATCAATACAGGCTCCGCCTGTCATGAGACAGAACCCATCAGTTTCCTCATTGGAGAATGTCATGTTGAATCCCTCTGTCTGGATCTTTTACCTTCTCCGATGTTCCCTCTCATACATGATTTATAAGGTATGTAGGGGATTAAAAAAAAAATACAATTGACACAGTGAAGGTGGAATTTTGGGGGTACATCATCACCCCTGGTTGTATCCAAATGGATCCACGCAAAGTACAACCATACCGGATTGGCCCAGTCCCAAGGATAAAAGAGCAGTACAACGGTTTATGGGTTTTGCTAACTTTTATGGACGATTTATACATGGATTCTCACAAATATGCACTTCTATTACTGAATCTGTTGGAGGGGTCCTCTTTTCCTGTTACAGTCTACACCAATCATCGTAACCTGGAATATCTACACTCTGCCAAACGATTCGGACCACGCCAAGTCCGGTGGGCCCTTTACTTCTCTTGTTTCACTATGCAGATCTGACTCAAAGAACCTAAAGGCAGATGATCTATTCCTTATGTACAACATGACAGAACAGGATCCCTCCATTTCATACAATATTCTGTCACCACACCACTTACTTGCTACACAAGCGTCCCTCCTAGATCAAATCCAAAACATGAATGTTTAGCCACCAGTTGTACACCCTCCTCTGTTCACAAGGCAAGGCCTATGGTACCATGGTTCCCAAATATATGTACCCCCACCTCTACAACATGATCTCAAACAATTATTTAGCCACAGCTCATGGAGGAATCACAAAAACACTGGAAAGTATCAATCAGGTGGCCTGAAATCAAACAAGACACCAAACACTACGTCATGTCTTGTGATGTATGTGCCCATTCAAAGGTACCTTGTGCTAAACCCACTGGACTTCTTCATCCTATTCTGCTGGCTTATGGTCTGATTTTACCATGGACTTTATTGTGTATCTGCCTCCTTCTCACAATTACACTACAATCCTGGTAATCATGGACAGGTTAACAAAGATGGCTCATTTTATCCTCACCATTGGATTACCTACAGCAGCCAGAACCGCTATGTTGTCCCTACAAGACGTCTACTTTTTGCATGGTGAACCTCGTTTCATCATCACAGACCATGATACACAGTTGACATCACTGTCTCATTTCTGTTAACATCTCAGAATGCAGGGAAACTTGTCCTCAGCCTATCACCTCCAGTTCAATGGCCAGACTGAATGAACCAATCAAACCCAGGAACAGTACCTTCGCTGCTACACTTCATGTTTACAAAAGGATTGGCTTAAAAATAGAGTACAGAGAGTTGTTATTAATGGTAAATTTTCAAGCTGGACAGAAGTGGTTCTGAAGTGAAGTGATGTCCCTCATGGTTCTGTTCTGGGACCCCTTCTATTTAACATGTTTATAAAAGATCTTGAAAAAAGCATTGAAAGCTACATTTCAGTGTTTCCAGGTTAGACAAAACTCTGTAAAGTAATACAATGTGAGCAAGATATAACTTTTCTGCAGAATGATTTAGATAGACTGGGGGACTGGGCACTCAAATGGCAGATTAAATTTAATCTAGAAAAATGCAAAGTTATGCACTTCAGCATAAAGAATGCACAAGCAATTTATACCCTAAATGGAAGCAAATTGGGGATAACAACACACAAGAATGATTTGGGAATTGTTATAGACCAGGGGTTCCCAACCCAGTCCTCAAGTATCCCCTACCAGTCCAGGATTTAGGGATAACCCTGTTGTGTCTAAAGTGTTTTTTCTCTAAAAACACCTCACACACAACTGGGCAATCCCAAATCCTGGACTGTTAAAGACTAGGTTGAGAACCACTGCATGCAACAATGCAATGCCAGTCAGCAGTAAGATGGAGGGGCAATGTGTGTGTGTGGGGGGCAGTGTGTGTGTGAATGGGGGTAGTGTGTGTGTATTGGGGTAATTGTGTGTATGGGGGCAATGTGTGTGTATGGGGGTAGTGTGTGTATGGGGTAATGTGTGTGTATTGGGGTCAATTATATGTTTGGAGGCGCAGTGTGTGTATGGGGGTAGTGTGTGTTTGTATAAGGGCAGTGTGTGTGTATAGGGGCAATGTGTGTATGGGGTGGCAGTGTGTGTCTACGCTGGGACTCTGTGTGTGTATGGGGGGTAGTGTATGTGTATGGGATGGCAGTGTGTGTGTATGGTAGGACAGTGTGTGTGTATGGGGTAGTGTGGGTGTATTGGGGGCAATTGTGCATTTCGGGGGCAGTGTGTGTGTATTGGGGTAGTGTGTGTATGGGGTAATGTGGGTGTATTGGGGTCAATTATGTATTTGGAGGGGCAGTGTGTGTGTATGGGAGTAATGTGTGTGTGTATGAGGGCAGTGTGTGTGTATGGGGGCAGTGGGTGTGTATATCTGCTGAGTGGACCCCCCCCAGACCACATTGCTAAGTTCTGCAGGATGTGGCTCTGTAAACCTTTAGAAAAGGAAGTGAGAGCTAAGTTGGCTGTTACCCCAGAATTTGATCCCTTGCTCATCACTTTTCTGTAAAGGACAGGAAAAGCTCCCCGTAAGGGTTTGGAACAAGGCCCGAAGGCCAGCCAGGATAAAATGATGGATATGACGAGACCGCTTATCCTTATATTCAGTATTGCAGGTGGCACTTTGGATGCACATATGGGGCGAGAATGGGCACAGAGGGCACTATGCCTACTAGGCAACACCAATGTTGCCATGTCAACTGAAAGACGGAAATCCGTCTTATACAAAATTGATTCAAAGCTTTCCAAATTAGGCACTAAGGAGCTTGGCCCTGAGGCACAAGGTATGCTATTTGGAGACAAATTTATTAAGGAATTAAGTAAAAACGTGGCTGTGTTTACAACGCTTACCAAAGCACAATCTTCCTTATGCAAGGTATTTAGGGAGAGCCAGCCATTACAGAGGCCCGACGGCTGGCAGAGCTGCCTTTGCAGGCTACAGGCCTCGACCTTCAGATCACTGGAACTCGGGCAATACCCGTTTCCACCATAAGCACTTCTTCCCCTCTCGTGGATCCATTAGAGGACGTGGATCTTCTTCCCTCTGCGGTCGCACTCCTACAGGTAATGGGCTCTCATTTTTCTCATGTACCTATAGCAGGCCGATTAATCAATATTTCCCAACAGTGGTCCCGACTCACGCAGGATCCATGGATCCTTCAGACCGTGTCCAGCTTCCACCTAGAATTTACAGAGGACCCAGTCCAAATGTCCTTGCCTAACCCCCTCAGGATGTCACAAATAGATGACACGTCCCTACAAGTCGAACTCAACGACCTAGTCACCGAGGGTGCCATCGAACGATTCCTCACCCCACAAGGTTTCGTGAGCAACATGTTCCTAGTCAAGAAAAAGTCGTGAGAATTCCGACCAGTCATCAATCTAAGAGAACTGAACAAATTCATCAAATACAGACACTTCAATATGGAAGGCATCCATCTATTACGAGACCTCCTCTGTGAGGGAGATTGGTTCTCCCACTTCGACCTCAAAGATGCATACCTCACAGTACCAATCATGCCAGAACACTGCACCTTCCTCCAATTCAATTGGCGCCAAACACTATGGCAGTTCATCTGTCTCACCTTCGGACTATGTTATGCACCTTGGTGTTACACCAAACTAATGAAACCGGTGATGGTACTACTCCGTTCACAAGGGATTTGGTCCATCATATACTTGATACTATACTATGGCTCAAGACGAAGAGACTCTACGTCTCCATACAAATATGACTTCGGCTCTTCTCCAGAATTTAAGTTTCATCATGAACCTCCAAAAATCATTTCTAGCTCTGATGGTACAGTTTCTGGGATTTCAGATAGAATTGTTTAAAGCAGT